AATAACATTCCTGTGTGCCATTGTGCCTTTTCAGGACACACATGGAAGGGCTTCTTAACCTCATTACTGATGCTTAATTGCAAAAAAGGCTGTGGACAATGAGTGCCGTGTGTCTTGTCCGCCACCTCGAAGAGGGGACGGGTAGCATGGACCAAACCAGTGACAAAAAGAGGTCCCCCCACCTGATTTACAATTGGGCCAAGGACCTAAATTGACATTTTTCCAAAGAGGGCATATGGCCAATATAAGCATGAAAACATGTTCGGCATCACTAGACATCAGAGAAATGCAAATCAAACACTCAGATACCACGTCACACCTGTTAGGGTGGCTGTTGTCAAAAGACAATAGATAAGTGTTGGTTGGCGAGGATGTTGGCGAGGAATTTGATGGAAATGGAAAGGAGACGCTCTCATAACCTTTACCTTGATAAAGACCTTGTTTATAGTATTATAAGGCATAGGCAGTCTATCCAAATGGTACGTTTTATTATTGTCGGTGGGATATAAATCGGTGCAGCTGTGAAGGTCCTCAAAAATTTAAACAGCGTGAAGTTCCTCAAAAATTTAAAATAGAATTACCTTATGACCCAGCAGTCCCACTTCTGGGTATTTATCAAATGGAAGTGAAATCGCTGTCTGAAAGAGACATCTGTTCTCCCGTGTTCACTGCAGCATCATTCACAGGAGTTGAGGTATAGAAACAACCTAAGTGTCCCTAAAGAAAATGTGGCACATATACATACACAGTAGGATATTATTCTGCCATACAAGGGCAATGTGTCCGTATATTGTGTAATTAAAACAATGAAAGCATAAACAAAAAATATTACTGTCAGCAGATTGTTCGGCTGCCATGTTAGCTCCAAGTGTATAAACCTGGGAACATCTTTCTGCTGCACCCCCCCAGTGTGCGCATGCTCACAGCATAACCGTAGCTAATTCCTTTCGAGCGTCAGCTAAATGTGAGGGGGCGCCAAGCGCTTCTGTGCGTTTCATCTGATTCTCACCACGGGCGTCGTTGTCCCCGTCATTCTGGAGCGGGAGTCCCCCCAAGCGTAGACAGCCCTCGACACATAGCGGGGTGAGAACCAGCGCCAGGAGCCAGCCAGGAAGTGGCCTCTTCTCCCCAGTATACCAGCGAACCTGTTCCCAAAACAATTCTTACTTTTTTCTCTTGGCTGCAGTAGGCCAATTTCTTTTTCAAAATAATACATACCATTTGGATAGACTAGATCTGCATTGTAATGCTATGCACAAGCCCTTCATTAAGATCAAGGTTATGGGAGGGTTTCCTTTCCGTTTCTGTTGAATCCATTTCCGTTTGTGACCCCAGCTTCTCGCAGGCGTAGGCCAGCACTGTCCCCAGGACTTACTTCCTCTTCCCTGTCATCACACTCGGAAGGCAGTTCCCACAGCAGCCCCAGCCCCCGTCTGGCCTTCGTCTCCTTGCGGTCCGAAGCCTGCTGCCCTCTCTTCTGAGAGGGCGGACCCTGCATGAACTGTGTCAACAGGAGTGTGTGTCACAGGTTAACTAGACTGGGGTTTGGCCCTGGAGTGGACTGACGGCCAAGGGCTGGTCCCAAGCCCAGATATCTGCCCCTTTTTCCCTGTGAATGTGCTGTGTGCCCCCAGCGTCACCGGGCACAGCGGTGGGCACAGACGTGTTTAGGACATGAGGGATGAATGGACGAGTGTTTCCAGCAGGCACAGGCCATTTCTAAAACGTGGTGGTCTCGGCTTCCCTGCCGCTGGTTTGAATCGGGTGCCCACCCCCGCTCTCCCTTTCTGAGGAGGATGGATCAGAACCTCTTGTTTGTCTCTCACAGTCCCCAGAGGGGCCTGCGTCTCCCCTCAAGGGTGTGGTCCGCCGTCGGCCAGCGGTGAACTCTCCAGCGTCCCTTCAGCTGTCCCGGACAGGGAGGGGGCACCCTTTCCTCCATCAGAACCACAGGACCAAGAGGAGTCAGAGCCAGCTAAGAAGAGGAGAAGAGGAGGTCAGTGTCCCCGTGGTCCCCTGTGCCCTTGGTCCTTGGAGCACCCTGGGACCCAGTGCAGTGTCTGATCTGCCCCCAGGCCCTCCTCCCAGAAGCGCGAGGGGGGCCGTCCCAGGCTGACACCTGTGGTGCCTCAGCCTCTTCCGAGTGGAAATTGGGCCTTTTCTTTCCTGTTTGCATCATCGGTTCGGGACTGTGCCCTCAGGAGACGGTCTGGGAACGGTGCATCTTGAATTGTAGCTCTGACTTGGGACACCAGTTCTCAGCCATGTTTTCTCTAAGTGATCGTTTGAACCTTCACGTTAAAGGCGATTCAGAGAAAAAACTATACTTTAAAAGACGAAGCTGAGAAGACTGTGAAGACCGCGGGGGTCGCGGTTGACAGTGACCGCGCGACAGCCCGAGGCCCGGGGCGGGCCCGGGGGAAGGACAGTGGGGTCCTTCGTGCTTAGAGTGGAAAGTTGAGTTGATCGGCTCGGGAGGGTGTGTGTGGAAAGAATCAGCAGCAGGTACTTCAGAACACAAGGGGTATTAAAACGAAGCCATTTTTAACGCTGGCAAAAATGAAAAGTTGTGTAAGGAAGAAAACGTAGTTAGCGCACGCCGTTTGGCTCGGCAGCGAGCCTTTAGCGTGATGACGCAAATGCAGTGTACCGAGCCAGCAGTCGTGTTACAGTAAATTGGGGAAAAAGTCCTTCTGTACCTTACCGTGTCAGGAGATGAGAACTAACGTCAACCTGAGCGCAGCATCGCAACTTAGAAAACTGGTCTGTACCGGGAGAAACTACAGCTAAGACACAAAAGTGGTTTCCTCAGACTGGGGCAGAGGGCGCCTGCGTTTATTTCCTTCAAGTATTTGTAGGCTTTGTAACTGTGTGCAAGTATTTCTTTAATTAAAAATAAAAACCTTTGATTAGCAACACCTGAGCATTACAGACGATGACACCAGCAGAAGAAAAAAAAGTTTTAAGCTCATGAGAATGGCTGAGAGTCTGTACTTTCCAGCACTTTCCCGTGTATACAAGTCACGTTTTTTGTTTAAACAGAAATGATGCAATACACAAAATCTGTTTGACCTCTGACCTTTGTCTCTTGACCATGTCTCCTCACTGTGTGTTTTTAAGTCATTATTCTAAAACGAAACTTTAGCAGACTGGAATGTGAGACCTTTACGGGCCTTCTTAAAAATAACCTTAAAATACGAGCGCTGGCCAGGGTCATGTCTTCTGTCCACAAGTTAAGAAGTTCTGGAAACACAAGGAGCGAGCACCTGTCTCCTCCATGGCTGCGACGCTCAGAATGCGTCCCTTTCTCTTGCAGACGGGGAGCCCGACCTGCACCTGCATCTGCTGATCACAGACCAGTGCGGTGACAACCAGACGGCCCTGGGGGGTGGCAGAGCCATGGCCGTGAAGCCGGACAAGATGGAGGAGACACTGACCTGCGTCATCTGCCAGGACCTGCTGCACGACTGTGTGAGGTACGCGCCACGCCGCGCCCCGCGGGAGGCGGGCCTCTGGGTTGCGTTTGGGTGGAGTCCGCAGACGACGGCCGTTGTCGTTTTATTTTAATGTATGTCAAGCCGAAAGTCTGGCTCGGTGACCCAGGCTATAGAAGCCGACGTGGCAATGGCCCGGGTTGACACAGTCCTGTCTGACCTCGGTGTCCTGGCCCAGCTCAGATGGCGCCCAGGGGGACGGTGCCTGGTTAGGCTGACACGGCGGGAAGGCCCCGGGAGTGGTGCGCAAGGGCGCTCTGCCTGCTCTGCTGTGGGAAGCGTCAGCCCGTCGTGGGGTCGCCTCCGTGCAGCCTTTTCACACACTCAGCGTCTCTGGTTCTCGTGGTCTGGACGTCACAGCGTGCCCTCCTGTACCTCTTGGAACACAGAACTGCCACATGGCCTCTCGTTTCTTTCATTAGCAAGGACTGAGTTAAAGTAGCTAAGATAGAATGCCTAAACGTGGGGACCTCTCAGGTGGCATGTGGAGGGCAGGCAGCATTGCGGGTCGTTAGCCGAGGATGCGGGTGCCAGCGGGGGCTGCCAATGCACCTGACGGTGGGCCCCGCAGCTATGCGGGCCCTGCTGGAATCGCAGCTTCCCGTCCCAAAGGCTGTGCCCGCGTGCCCTGGGGCCTGAGGGCTGCTGCAGCTCGGTGGCAGGCACTCTGTGGGGACCTGAGGGCCTGTCCTTTGCCTTCAGCCTGCAGCCCTGCATGCACACCTTCTGCGCGGCCTGCTACTCGGGCTGGATGGAGCGCTCCACGCTGTGCCCCACGTGCCGCTGTCCAGTAGAGCGGATCTGCAAGAACCACATCCTCAACAACCTGGTGGAGGCGTACCTGCTCCAGCACCCAGGCAAGTGGGGCTGCCGCCCAGCGCCCGGAGACTGCCCGGTATCCCCGGGGCTGCCAGCCAGGACAGCCCTGTTTGTTGAATTCCAGACAAGAGTCGCAGCGAGGATGATGTGCGGAGCATGGCCGCCAGGAACAAGATCACTCAGGACATGCTGCAGCCCAAGGTCAGGAGGTCTTTCTCTGACGAGGACGGCAGTTCAGAGGACCTGCTGGAGCTGTCGGACGTGGACAGCGAGTCCTCGGATGTTAGGTGAGCCTGTGCCTGGCGGGAAGCTGGGCGCGTTGGGTGTATGACTTCGGGTTGTGATGTCACTGGCCTTGAGTGTGGCGAGGCGGAGCGGGCGCTGAGGACAGCCCAAGGCCCGGGGGACTGTGAGAGGTGTTAGCGGTCCTGCTTCCTCCACACCCTCTTCATTCCTGTTTACGTGGAGCGGTCTGTCTTCTGTTGCTCCTCTGTGTCTTTCCAGTTTACCGAGATGTAATCGTAAGCGTAAGGTGTGCAGCAGAATGATTTGACTGACATCTGTCATGAAACGGTTGCGCAACGATCGATACCCGTTTATGTGCTAATTTCTCATTGCGCACTTTGAGTCACTGGCTATGACAGTTGTTACGATTTAACAGGTCCCCTCGTCCCACATTGGTGCACTCTGTAGCTTATCTGGTGACCAGAAAGTCTTAGTGTAAGTTGCAGTATTTTCATTTGTGGGGATATCACTGCAGAAAAGCCGCGGTCAGCTGGTGGGGCAGATGCGTCATCCAGTGTGGGACGCTAATGCCTCCTGACTCAGAGGTCCGGGGTCTGCATTTTGAATCAAGGCCATGATACTTAAAAAGACAACAAACTCCCCCAAATCTACCTTCATTTCTTTTCACAAAACTTAGCAAATAATGGTTAGGCAAAAAGAAAACCAAAAATTACTTAAGTGCAAACGTACTGTTGTGTGTCCATCTCTGTCATACATACTTCTTTTTTAACAAAGTAGGATGTGCTATACTTATAAATAAATATTTTTGTAAAGGTAGGATTATACAATACGTACGATCTTGTAATTTTCCAGTGTTTTGAGCTCAGAAACAGTGCTGCCGCGCACGTCCCGAATTGGTAGTTTGCGTGTTCAGTTATTCCCTGGAGACGAGCAAATGCAGGTGGAGCCGTCAGGTCAGAGAGTGAGCGGGAGGCCTAGAGGGACTCCCGACACGTGTCGTCAGTGCCCGTCAGGAAGGTGCTAGTGACGGTCCCACGTCACCAGGTCAAACGTTTCCCGGCTTTTTTTCTAGTCAGGTCCTTCCCGTTCTTCCTTCCTCACTGGCTCCCACGTTGGTGGCAGGCTCAGGACCGCGTGTCCTGACAGAGATGAAGGAAGAGTCCCCTGTCCATCTTCCCTGTGGGTTCCTTTGTCCCATCTGCGGTGTTTGCCAGCTCAGCCAGAGTGCCCGAAGCTGGGTGCTGCAGGGCTTCTGGCCACCTGGAAAGCTCCCTGCAGACAGCAACGTTCGGCCATGGTGCATTTCGCTCTGATTTTAACAAAGTGCAGGCAGTCCCCGGATGGCCAAGGTGACAGTCCTGAGTGCCTTGGGGAAGCCAAGTACACAGCTCTCCCAGCATCAGAGCTGCGAGAAAATGTCCTGCCCAGTGCGGGGACTGAGCGGCTGTGCCCCTGGGGATGTCACACCAGAGCGACGGGTGGGCAAAAGACATCTCGGGACCTCAGGAGCAGCTGAGGGGGCAGGGCACTGGACACCAGACAGGAAAGGGGAGCTAGGTGATGGCAGAGAGCAGAGCTCCCTGACCCCTGCTGTTTCGGGGCGAGCGCTGATGGGTGCCAGGCGGGGCCGTACCATCCTCCCGCTTCGCACACATTGGGCGACAGCGGATGGCGCAGACCGAGGCGTGAAGTGGGGGTGAAGTCCACGAGTGGAGAAGGCACCTCTAGGCTCAGGGACTTGGCCCCGTCTTGTCACCAGGGCTGGGGCACTGTCACTACCACCCTCATCACGAGCACAGCGTTCATGCTCCAGCTCTGTGTGTGCTCCCCTTGCAGCCAGCCATATGTTGTGTGCAGACAGTGTCCCGACTACCGAAGACAGGCGGGGCAGCCCCTTCCCGGTGAGCAAGGGCCGCCACAGGCCTCTGGGGACACACCGTCGACATCCGTGAGTGTCACAACAGGTGAGATGGCCACGCCCTCCGTGCTGTCGCTCCACTGTGACCACTCGGGCTGTGGCTTGCACTTCTGCCAGCTCTTCTCTGCTCTCCTGTCATCTGCCTCGAGCGGCGCTACTACCTCTCATAGTTGCTTGTCACAGTCTGTTTTGGACTAATAAATTAGATAATTGTCCACTCGTGGGCCTCTGTCTGGATCCTCCCAGGGGTTTAGTCTGATTCTAACAGTCGGCCCCCGCAGCCCACTGTTTAGCGCAGTTGGTGTCCCCAGTGGTGCTTGCCAAAACCAAAATGACTGTCGCACGTGGACCGCTGCAGTGAGACTGGCCTCTTCCCAGTGATGGGCCCCAGTGTTTCCAGAGCACTTTAAGCCCTGTCTGCCCCGCTGCCCGTGTCCAGTGGCTGGGTCCCCAGGTGCCATCAACAAAGGGAAAGTGGTCACGGGGAATCTGCAGTTCTTGGCCCCACAGGGACTCGGGCTCTTAGCCACTGTCGGCCTAAGCCTGTCATGGGGCCACCAGCCCAGGGTTATGACCCAGAGCCACATTCTTAATTATCTGCCGTGGTGCCACGCCTTTTCAGGGACTTTCTGTAGGCCACGTGGACAGGGATTGGCAGTGCAGTGCTCGGTCACCTCCTGACTGCCACTCACCGGGTGGGCTCCGTCATTTGCAGAGTGCAGATGAAAAGTCCCCATCGGGACAGGGCCTACAGCAAGTGTGGATGGTGAGTGTCCAGGGCTGGGCCTCATGGACACTGCTCCCTGTGTGAGGTCAGCCAGTCTTGCCTGCCAGGCCTGTCACTTGTTTATTTGGAGGATCTTGAGATTAAATATAGAACTTCCTTTATTCTTTTTTGGTGTGTGCTCTTTGGTCTGCCCTTCCTTTATAGAAATGGTAGAAAACCTTCAAGTGATCTTTGACATCTTGCTATACCCAGAAGAAACCAGAAGAAAACTGGTTGTTTTTCAGTATACCAGAATTCCTTCGTTTCGATGGTAGACTGTCAGCTGGCCGTGTAGGAAACTTGGTGTGAATTCTCCCTGGGTGTTCTTGTACGTCTGTCTCTCCTCACGTGTACTTTCTAGCTGCCCCTCAAGACGCGGGTCTAATTCGCACTTTCCGCCTGTGTCCCGACACGCGCCGGCCCGGACGTGCGTTCGTTCTGCAGCCCAGGATTACGTGTGCGCCCTGCAGGGAAGCCACGCCGTGTGCACCTGCTGCTTCCAGCCCATGCCCGACCGCAGGGCAGAGCGCGAGCAGGACCCCCGCATCGCCCCTCAGCAGTGTGAGTACCATCCGCCAGAGCCACCTGCCACTGCAGAGCCTCCTGCGTGTCCTCCAGGCTCGGGATTCAGAGTGTCGTTCACGCTCGTGTACGGTGCAGAGTAAGGGCACTGTTCTGCCTTCCATCCGCAGAATCGGTGGTCCCTGTGCGACCAGGCCGGTCGTCCATCTTTTCCCACCAACCGAAGAGGCCATCCCTGCTATTCGTTGACTTTCCAGATGTGATGCTTCTCTTTCTGGAGTCCGCATCTCACATCTGTCCCCACATGAGGGCCACAATAATTCTGTCATGGGTCACTTTTAAGTCCAGTGTATGAAATCAGCGCTTTAATTTACAGTCTGGGAATTGCTGTTAAAATCGAGCTTGTCGTTTATTTAACAGCCATTTAAAATGATTTCTCACTGAGTAACCTGCCTAATGGTTGTGCTGTGTCCACAGGTGCTGTTTGCCTGCAGCCTTTCTGCCACCTGTACTGGGGCTGCGCCCGGACCGGCTGCCTTGGCTGCCTGGCCCCCTTCTGTGGTAATGCCGGCTCTTCACCCAAATGGCTTCAGCCTTTGCATGTTCTCTTGGTGCACTTGAGGGTGGTGACGGGGTGGCATGGCCTGTCGTGTGCCCAAGGAGGGGGAGGCAGCTGTTCGTTACCACAAATGAACTGCCTTTTCCTGACATACTGCATAAGTTTTCCATTTGAAAGTGTCAGTGTGTGTCAGTTCAAAACCAAGCAATGACAGAAAAATTAGGGAGATGCTGAGTTCAAAGTCAGGAGGGTTTATTTATGCACAAGAAATGCTACCACTAAAAAGGCACGCTCTGGCGACAGCTTTTAGACTTCATGACCCAGAGCAGGAGTGAGGGGACTCGGCGCTGGCCATTGCAGGAGGAACTGCGACAAAAGTCATTTTACTTGTTCCCGATATAAAATTGGATATCGTCATGGAACTTTTTATTCTTTCTAGGCTCTATAATGAAGGAAATTTGGTTATCCTAACTGTCGGGTGAACGATGCTTTCATAAAATGTCTATAAACGGATAACGCTGCTTCCCTCCATCCCGACAGAGCTGAACCTGGGTGACAGGTGTCTGGACGGGGTGCTGAGCAACAACCACTACGAGTCCGACATCCTGAAGGTACCGCTCTCCACACAGACTCTGTTAGGCCGAGGCCAAGAGGCGGCCTCCCTAGGACTTTCTCAGTGACCTCTGTGACTCTGCATTGTCTGGCTCACACTGCCACTGATTTTTAGCCCCTGTTGGTATATGTCTATCTTTCCCCATATTCCAAAATACATGCCATGAATCCACAGGGACTGCTTCCCGTGGCTCGCCTCCTGCTTGCCCCGCGCAGAGGGTTTCTGGGCTGGGGGCGGGGAGCAGGGGTTACAGCCGGGCTGGGGCAGCTAGGGACTCGTCTCTGGCTCTCTTCCTCTCTGTTTCCTTCCCACATTGCAGGAAGCTGGCCTGGCTCTTAGCCTCTCAGTGTGTTTAATGTGCACACCAGTCTCGCCTATCTGCATATGGCATTGCACGCAGGACTGAGGCCTTCTCACCTGCGTGACACGCTCCTGCCCACCACTGCACCCTGGTTAGGTGTTACCTCCTTGTAGGTTTGCACAAAAGTCAAGCAGCTCCAGGCGTCTGAGGGGCAGAGCGCAGATCCAGGCCCTCAGTCTCCTTGTATGTTCCTGGGCCTGTCACTGCACGTCGGCCACCCTGGCCGAGGCTGGCATCTCACGCTCCTGTGCCAGGAACACCCTTGCAGAGTCAGGGAACATGGGCTAACTCCTGTAGTGAAGATTCTGAAGCTTGCCTGCCTATTCAGGCTCGTTGGACAAGGGTCCTTGAGTGTTGCTTTGTGGGTGTGTTCCCGTGTCAGTCCTGGGGGTCCTGGCCCACGTGCCTGCCGTGGCCGTCCTAAGCCGTGGTCTTGGGAGCAGGACCCCATACAGGCATGTAGCGCGAGCCCCTGGATCCCTCTGCAAATACCACCACGCTTAGGTTGGCTGTGCTTTGGCTTTACCTGCCTACAGGGGCCCTTTGTGAACCTTCTACCCTCCTGTCCAGGTTAGATTTCTCTCTGTTTCCCATCACAGAATTACCTGGCAACCAGGGGTTTGACGTGGAAAAACGTGTTGACCGAAAGCCTCATGGCTCTGCAGAGGGGCGTGTTCCTGCTCTCTGGTAAGCCCGGTGTACCTGCTGTCTCTTCTCTAGGATGGCGATGCTGTCCCATGCCACCTTTGTACCCCGTGAAGCAGTCGGCCCACCCGGCCCCAATTTAGCAGTGTCCGTGTCTGCTCTGCCGCGTACACAGCTTCAAAACGTCTGCCCACCCTGGCAGACACAGACAGAAAAGTCCCGGTCCTTTCCGGTTGTGTTTGAAAGTTGGGGTTGCATTCACGTGACATATTCCAGGATCTTTTCTGCCACAGGGGAGGGAGGAGGCACAGCCAGGGAGATGTTGGCGCCAGCATTTGCAGCATTGAGACCCTGGGGCTGGTTGTTCCCAAACCCTCAGGGTCCTTGTTGGCCTGTCATTCAGTGTGTTGGTGACTCGTGAAGGTGTGTCCCATCTCCCAGGGACACCAGTGCATTAAGTAATGTGATTTTGTCATTGAGGGAGGCCGTAGAAAAATCGGCAAGTGATTTTTATTTTTTTAACACATAAATTATTATAAAAGACTTGAGAAGTTTCCTGGGAATTGTTCTAAGCTGCTTCTTTCTCATGAACATACTCTAGTGAGGGTCTTGGGTGTTCTCTGCTCGGACAGCTCTGTGTGGTCGCCCAGCTCTACTGCCTGGGTCTTAACCCCTTTCTCTTTTTAATAACTGACAATTTTTACGAGAACAACACAGCTCCCAAAGCAAACGTAAATGGTATAGGGAAGTATGAAGAATACAGTAAAAATCATTGGAAATCCCACTACCTGTGTGGTACACACAGTTGAGACTGTCATATTAACAGTCCCCAGGGATGTGCCATTGTTCCCTGAGTCCGTCAGCCCACATTTGCCTTTTAGGTCTTGTGAATATGAAAGAGGCAAACAGTGTATATCATCATTTTATCTGCCTGTGTTTGAATGTTCACAGATCGAAGATCTTTCTGTTTTATGGGTCACTTGCTTGTCTGTGACTTCGGCCCATATTTATCGGCAGTTTGGCTTTGGGGATCTGTGTGACATCTTTGTTCTCAGGGTCCGACACATTATCATCTATGTTGCGGATGTTTCTATTTTGTTAGTACCTCACCTTCGTCGTACGCGTTTCCATTGTGATGTTGAATTGTAAGCGGTCTGATTTACAGATTCTTTCCCATGTGCCATTTGGTTTTCACGGTATACTCAGAAACAGCTCAAGAGAAAAATAACATTCATTCCTTTTAGTACTCTTTTGGATTTTTAAAAATATTACCATTTTTTATGCAAGCGGCGTTATTTTGCTGTAAGGAAACGTCGGCATCTAGGTTGCTTTTGTTCTCGTTTCCGAGCGTCCCGCGCACTGTCTCCCCCGACTTCACGGGTCGGTGCGCCGGTCCCCGCTAGTTTGCAAGGCCACATCTGTTCTGCGCGGGAAACACGAGGTCGGTCTGCTGCCTGGCCGTGCCCTTACGAGGCCGTGTACCTTCCAGATCCCAGAATCACGGGGAACACCGTGCTCTGTTACTGCTGCGGCCTGCGAAGCTTCCGAGAGCTGGCCTACCAGTATCGGCAGAACATTCCTGCCTCCGAGCTGCCAGGTGAGGGAACCCTGCGACGCGCTGCTGTGTGCTTCGGCTTCTAGGCACCTCGTGTGGTAGACACTCTGTTTGGGCCTTTGCTCCCTGCTCTTAGCAGATCCCTGCTTCAGCCTGGGTGAAGAACGGGCAGATGGCTGCCTGAGGGCCGTGACGTGGGTTGTCACCTCTCCGGTGTGAGTCCAGACCCTGGGTCTGTCTGCCGCGACGTGGGTTCCTAAAACAGGATTCACGAAAACACCCTGTAGACAGCTACAGTAATCTCATTTTCTAAATCGGGTTTTCAACATTTTTTCCTTTTCTGAAATCTTGGAACAGTTGAAACTAGTTCTAAAACGTGACAAAACGCTGTGCATTTCAGCTGCACTTTCTCTTTGGGTCTCAACTTCCTGAGCTACGTTTGTGTGATGTGCACGTTACGCAGGCTTCGTGTGTTTTCTCTTCCCAGCGGCTGTTACATCCCGTCCGGACTGTTACTGGGGCCGCAACTGCCGCACGCAGGTGAAGGCGCACCACGCCATGTGAGTGGAACGGTGCCATGCCGCGCCGGGCCCGGGCGGCAGGTCCTCAGGGCTGGGGAAGGGACCTGAGGCGGTCCCGCAGAAAGGCAAACCCTTGTTTTCCTGACAGTGAGGAGGTTTTTTTAAGTGTTTTGGCCAAATCGATATATCAGCTGGTAGGGATGTTCATGAACTAACTAGTCAACCACCTACTTGGAAATACACTGGTTTGGTTGTGAGCTTCTTTAGCGTCGCATAGTACACAAAGTAGAATTGTCCTTTGGACCCCTGCCCTTCTGCTACCTCATTTTGTGAAACATTTGCATGGCAGCGTTTCTGCCTCCGTGGCTCCGGAGCACAGCTGTCATTCCCAGCGACTCATTAGCACTTTCCACGTCGGTGGCTGTGGCCACCAAGAGTCTCCTCCCCAAGCCACGGGCCCGTTTGCATGCCACTGTGCTCCCGGGTCTCTGTATCTCTGATCGCTCTAAACTGGTCGCTCACTGGGCATTCCACAGGGTCCTCACAGTGACATCCACATTGCCACTGATGTCGTCCGTAGCAGTGAGCTCGCCTCTGCGTTTACACCCTAGGTGAGGTGAGCATGTAATGAGTCACATAGATTGAGGCTGTGGAGGCGACTGTAATCCCCAAGCAGCCTTTCCTCTTTCAAATTAAGGTACAGCCGACCCGCAGACGACATGGGTGTGAACTGCACAGGTTGACTGAGAATACCCAAGCGGAATGGACCGTGCAGCTCACAGCCTGCCGCTCGCGGGCCAGCCGTGATGGGGAGAGAGCCCCCGGTGCGGGAGGTGGCAAGCACACCGGTGCAGGCAGCCCCCGGGGACGACAGGAACAAAACTCTGCTGTTTATTCCAGCACAAACCGTGTGTGGAAAGACATTTTACTGTACGAGGAGAGATTTCACTAGTAACTGGCTGAACTTGCTAGGTTAAAACCTGGGTGAGGATAGCAAAGGCGTAACCCATCTTCCTCTGCGGGCGCCCTGTTCTTGGTGGACAGGAAGGTGGCAGCACTGGCACCTAGCACGCGTGTCCATCCACCCTGCAGGGGGCCCGTGGCACTGTAGGGACGCTGAGGACATGCAGCTTCGAGTCTCCTTCTCTAAGAAAATTATCTAAAATGTTTGATTTCTATTTTAAAATTTAAAAAGGAGAAAAGGCGCGGCCTTTGGTGGCGTTTCTTCAGTGGTGTTAGACACGTGCTGCCGCGAGCCCCCACGCGCTTTCTCTCGTAGGTCATCCGTGTTTATGCTCCTCCGATGACCTCGTGTGTGATCTGTTTTCTCCCTGCAGGAAATTCAATCATATCTGTGAACAGACGAGGTTCAAGAACTAAGTATCTGAAGAAGCACCAAGATGGCTTGGGGGTCCAGAGGTCAATGACAGTGTGTTTCAGGAAATACCGAATACTAACATTTTGAGGGCATTTTACAGTCCCCCTGAGGACACTGGGGATCCCTGCGTCCAGCACTCGGGTGTGACTTTCCCTTTTGTGGAGCAAGACCCTCATGGTGAGGCCCGCAGCAGCCCGGCAGGCCGCACAATCGAGTCTGAGCTCAGGGCTGCCCGAGGCGCTTCGACAAGAAGAACAGCCGTCAGCTGTCCCCTCCCACTGAGATGGTGACAAGCAGGTTTGCTCTATGTCCCTTTCCCACAGCTGTGGTCAAAACGGACATCTCCCTCCAAGAAAAGTTTGTCGGAAACGTTTAAGGGAAAGGAGCGAGCGTTTACAGCCTGCGGGCACGCAGAGGGCCTTCCTGCGGGAAAGCCACGGCGCCGTCTATTTTTTTATTTTAATAGGTTTGGTGCTTATCTTCTAATAAGGTTTAAATACCACAAACTGTAGCACAAATAATATAATTTATAATTTACAAATTGACTAAAATTGGGGATAGTATGGTATTTGAAAGAATAAACGTGTTTCTGTTTATGAAAAACAAATCATGCAATGCGCAAAACTGCTAACCCGAGACCCCAACGAGTGCACAGCCCCGCCCAGGCGTGTAGTGGGGCCGCCGCCCGAGCAAAGTGCCAGCCCCTGCTGCCCCGCCCGGCTCCATTTATCCCTTCCCTGCAGGGCCCCGGCCATGGGTGGCCAAGGCACTAGACCCCCCAGAGCAATCCCTGCTCACGTAGGGCCCGAGCGGCCTTTGCTCCCACCAGTCCCTGCCCTTTCCTCCTGTGTTGGGTTTGCCGTGGCATTTGGAATAATACTTGAAATTTTGTTCTTTGTAAAAGAAAAAGTGTTTTTTATCTTTTGTTAAAATCGCATTGTTTGTTTGCAAAGTGGTAACTTTTTTGCTTCTTCTCAGGAAAACGATTTTCCACTGTTGACTTGCTCTTGACACAGACTGAGAAGCAGCGTCCGCGGAAGAGGCCCCTTCCTGCGCGCTAATAAACACGCCGTGTCTGTTTCTCTCCCCTGCACGTTTGCTCATGTGTCGGCTGTGATGTGCCCCTTCCCACCATGGGTACAGGCGGCTGCAGATGTCACTAGTCACTACTCACTACCAAGCTTGGGGCCCAGGTCTGGGCACTCTCAAAAAGGCATATTGTCTCGGATCCGCCAAGCCGAGGGAGCCACAGCGTCGTTCCTGAGCCCCAGGCATGCCTGTGCGGCCGTGAGGCCTCTGACATCGGCTCCTACGCTGCTCAGTCCAGCTGTCAGACCAAAGACGTGTCTCTTGGAGGGTGTACCATCTTTTTTGCCCAGGTTTAAAGAGAATGGGCGATTTTCCTCAGGCTGTGCAGGATCCAACTGCCGGGCCCACGGTGCGGGCTGACTCCGGGGGACTTGGGTTCCCCATTTCTATGAGCGGACAGGCTAAGAAAAGAGCTGGTTGGCTGTAAACCGCAGGCGGAGCTATGGGACCAAGGCAGTGATCCCCAGAGCCGCCGTTTTACAGAGCCAGGGGGTGTGCACCACATGAGGTTTTTGTGACTTTGTACTTCGGTTCCTCAGCACCCTCCCACCCCACTCCACAGCCAGCCCACAAAGGGGTTGGAGCCCTGCCTGTCCTGCTGGCTGGGCTGCCTGTGGGGCACGTGGCCAGCATGTGCAGAGGGAGACGTGCCTGTCTCTGGCTCCTTGGACCCAGCCCTGAGTCTTCTAACTTCTCTGCCTGTCCCCAGACCTGAGTCCTTCTTAGGTTCTCAACTGCTCCCATCAAAAGAGGGGCCACTCCTGCCCATACCCCCATCTATCGTGCCCCTTCCAAGGGGCTGCACACTGGCCCCTCCTGGTTTGCAGTCCAAGCCCCATGGTACATGGTCAGTCCTCAGGAGGCCTTGCTGGGCCAGCCTCTGTCAGGGCTCCTGGTGCGGCCGAGAACCCAGAGCCAACAGGATCGGAGAGCAGTGGGATGGCATTGCTGGATTTTGTCTAGGGAAGTGCCCAAAGCAGGAGAGGCAGAGGCGTCAGGCCCCTTCCGGCAGGGGACCTACAGCCAGATCAGTCTGTATGCTGCCCAGAAGAGGCCCAGGAGCGCCCAGGTTCTGGGCCAGTTATAACTGCTGAGGTGGCAGCCATGGGGAGCCCAGTGCTAGTAAGAAAGCAAGAGAGAATTGATTGGATTTCAAAAGACCAGAATGGACCTGACTTCCAGTGTGGCTGGATGCAGGAACCCGAATGCAGTGCTGGGCCCTTGCTCCCTCTGTTTACATGATAGCGTCCCAGCCCTCAGCCTCCATCAGCAGAAGCAGGTGATCTGGTGGCTTCCCCATCCATTCACACAAAAGCCCACCCTTGACCCTATCACTGACCAGCCAGACTTGAGCCTCCTGCCACCTCTGTCCAATAGCTCCCCATGGGCAGGTGGGGCAGTGCAGGGGCTGTCCCAGGCAAGAAGAAGACTAGTACTGAGTATCAAATGTTGCCGCCAAGACAGCAGACTTGCTGCTGGGCCAGCGGGATTCCCAGCTTACGAGGCCTTAGCCACCCAGGCCTGACCTTAATGAGAACTCCGCTGATTGCAGCCTGGTGAGCACTGGCCAGGTATAAGGTACTCCCCTTGGAAACACCAGCCACGTACGGGGCAGGGACAGAGGAGCCCAGGCACTCTCCATGGTGGGATTCATAGCTTCCTGCACTAAGTCCACTGTCCTTGGTGCAGAGGGAGTGCAACCCAGTCTGGCCTCTGTTGCTGTCTCTTTCTGACTGCTTCCTGGCCTCACTGAGCCTGCTTCCTCTTGTGTGATTTGGAAACGATAGGACACTTACCAAATGAGATGTTGAGATCTGAAGGGCTCCGAATAGCCTGGCATGGAAGAAGCTCTCTTCCTCCTGGCAAAACCTTCCAGCACTTCCTTGAGTGTGCCACATGCTGCGTTATTTCTGTTGCAGTGTGTGCCCTTTGCCTCAAACACCCTCCTTTCTGTCCTATCCCTTGGGAGTACAGCCTAGATAAACGCAGATCTAAAAAAATGGAGAGGCATACCATGTCCATGAATTGAAAGACAACATAGTCAAGGTGTCAATTCTCTCCAAATCGAATTATAGTTTTATTGTAATTCCTATCAAAATCCCAGGAAGGACTTTTGTAGATAAGTTTATTCTAAAATCTATATGAAAGAGCATGGGTGCCAGAATATCTAGAACCATCAAGAAAAAGGATAAAGTTGGAGGAATTCCCTACTAAATATTACAGCTTTCTGAAAAGGTCCTGCGTTTGAGATTGTGGTGTCGGCAAAGGGATAGGCACCGAGACCACGGAGCAGAACAGGGAACCCAGAAACAGACCACGCAAGCAGCCAACTGATTTTGACAGATGTGCAAAAGTAAGTTAATGGAGGAAGAATCGTATTTTCAATGAAAGGTGCTGGAACAATTTGATATCCATAGGCAGAGGAAAGAAAAGAAAACCTAAACCTCGCTCTAGATGCCGTTTTTTGTTTTCTGGGTTTTTTTTGAAAAGGTAAAACGTTGCTACCGCTCCAAAGCAGGAGTCACTTTTGCATTAGTACCTGAAAGATGAAGGACTGGCGTGGTGGGAGATTTGGACTTTGGGGTTCGCAGACCCAGGCGCCCCGCTTCCGCGCTGCACGGACACCGCCCGTCGCCCCCGCCCCGCGTTTCCTAGACACGCCCCCAAGGGACGCGCTGGCGAGGACGGTAGCCACGCCCACAATCTGACAGATTGGGCGGGGCGGGGCCGGAGCCCGGGACACGCCACTTCCGCCGGAAGCTCAATTGTCCAGCCTCCGGTCGGAGTTCGTCCCGCAAGTCAGGAAGCTGCGTCTGTACGCTGGAAAGAGCCGCGGACTCTCTTCCCGCAATCCGCCTCCGGCCGGTTGTGAGTGGGCTCGGCCCCAGCCCTGCGGCCGGAGCAGTTCCAGCCCGAGGGCGGCTGCCGGCGAGAAGAGGACGTTCTCTCCCCCGGAACGGAGGCAGCGCGCGCGGGCTGTTTCCCGGGGGCCCGAAGTCGCCGCAGCGCCGCGCCCCGCCCCTCGCGCGGCC